CCATAGACATTGCCTGATGAGTGCTAATGACTAAATAGAGTGGAAGAAAGATCTTGAAAGAAAACCTCTTGGAGTCTTCACCCAATGTATATACTATATATATATATATGTGTGTGTGTTCTTCCTCTACTGGGGCAGAGGGACACCTCCCAGCAGGACAATGACCCTAAACTTAAAGCCAGGGCAACAATGGAATGGTTTAAAACAAAACATCTCCATGTGTTAGAATGGCCCAGTCAAAGTCCAGATCTAAATCCAATCGAGAGTCTGTGGCAAGATCTGAAAACTGCTGTTCACAAACGCTGTCCATCTAATCTGACTGAGCTGGAGCTGTTTTGCAAAGAAGAATGGGCAAGGATTTCAGTCTCTAGATGTGCAAAGCTGGTAGAGACATACCCTAAAAGACTGGCAGCTGTAATTGCAGCAAAAGGTGGTTCTACAAAATATTTACTCAGGGGGCTGAATAATTACGCACACCCCACTTTGCAGTTATTTATTTGTAAAAAATGTTTGGAATCATGTATGATTTTTGTTCCACTTCTCACGTGTGCACCACTTTGTGTTGGTCTTTCACGTGGAATTCCAATAAAATTGATTCATGTTTGTGGCTGTAATGTGACAATGTGGAAATACTTTTGCAAGCCACTGTAGTTAGCATGTGCTGACTGGCTGAGGCCTTGGTGGAGGTGGCATGTTCTTCCTGTGCCTGCTCGTGTTCTCTCCAGCTGCTCTGGCTTCCTCTAACAGTCCTGTAGACTGTAAATAAAAGACTGAAATATCCTAAGGATCTGACACGTGAAGGCAGTGCAGTAGTGGTTCAACCCTCTATTATTTCAATTACTGGTTGTAAGCTTATTAAAAACAACATTGCATCCATTTGATTAAATTACCTATTTGAGCCAAACAAGTGTGCTTTATTGTGTGATTGATAAGTGGGATAGAGTTTTCAGTGACATCAGTGACCCCTCAATTGCCTCATCTCATCTGTGTGTGTAGTACAGTATAATGGACCTCAGATATAAATGTATACATAAATATAGTACTTAATCACTTTCTCTAATGAATTTTCTTTGCCCTGCTGTCAGTGCTGCTGTAGCAGCGCCTCAGGTGTTCTGCTGGTAAAGATTTTTGCAGTGGAGTGTGTGGGTGTGGCACTATATGCTGAAAATAGAAATGAAGCATGCTTCAGGCTTTACATTTTAAAAACAAAATAGCTGTATAAGTTGAGCAACAGCTAACTCTTTGGGAAAGGATTTACATGCTAAAGGTACGCAAAGTGTTCTAACACACCTTTAACATTATTCAGTTGTTCACAGAAAACACATCTGTGCTTAACGCACCCATTGGCACACTATTTTCTGTTTTCCATCTTGTGTTTGTGATTTCGCCTTTTCCGAGTTTTCTTTGACAGAAAAGAACAGTAACCACTGGGTGTCTCCGTGGCAACATACTGGACTATTAGGACACATAAAAACTTTTTAGCTGTGCCAAAAAAAATCTTTGAGGTAATTAATTATGCATTAATTATTTAATGTTATGTGGGAAGGAGACCTGTGACAGGAAATATACAGTCATAAAATGATGAAATAAAGTTTGATTCTCAAGTCAAGATGAAGCCAGAGTTTGAAGTAAGGTGTAGCACATTGTGTTTAAGGGTGATCACAGGTCATGTAACCAAACTTATAATAAAGTATGATCATTGTCTCTTCCCATTGCTTCTCGTTCATTTCTGGAGATTCCGGCTGTCTAAAAAAAATCCCCACTATCAATTCAATTGAGTTCAATTGTGTTTTTATATAACACAAATTCACAACACCACCTTAAATTGCTTAATATTGAAAGGTAAAGACCTTACAATGCTAGAGTGAATCCCCAACAATCAGACGACCCCTTTGAGCAGCACTTGGTAACCCTGAGAAGGAAAAACTCTCTTTTAACAGGGGAAAAACACCCTCTGGCAGAACCAGGCTCAGTGAGAGCTCAGCATTATAACTTATATTATAACTATTGCAGGAAGAAGATAACAAAAGGTATAAACACACGAAGAGAGAAAAGAATGGAAGAGAAGTGCTCAGGGTGTCATGGGAAGCCTGCTAGCAGACTGAACGTATTGCGGTATAAGGAATACTTCAGGATCAGCAGTCAAAAAGGAAAGTTTGAAATCTAACCTGAAAAGTAGAAACTGATAAGAGTTAAACTTTTGAGGAAAACAAACAAAATTGGTCATCTCCATCCTCACCTTACAGCAAAAGAACCGGTCAGACTCTGTCAGAGCCTTATTATATTGTTTTCTTTCTAACACGTAATCTTCAAGAAATGACTGTTTACTTTCCTAACATGTTTAATGAGCACCATTGTTATGGATTATTTACTCTTATTTGTGTGTTTGCCCAAATCATGAGCTCTAAGCATGAACGTATTCTCATTAAAGCAGATTTTCTGGCAGCGGTGTGTCGTGCTACATTTCCATTACTACAACTTTTCTTTCATGTCACCTTTTCCATGAACTTTCCTGACCTAAAACTGTGATTGTCTTGTAATTTTCATTTTCAACATGTACTCAAGTATGAGTAAGAAATTCCAGTCAGTAGTTGTAGCCTTGCCCCTCCATTCTGATCTCTCACTCACTCCCACACACACACATTAGTCCCCATTAATATTTATTATTTCCTCGTGTTTTTTTTCTTTTCTTTTTTTTTTTTCATGTCCAACATCCTGGTTAGATAATGCACACAAAAAAACAAAACCAAAAAAAACCATGGGCGGCATTAATGCTGTTTCATTGTGACTGTGACTTTTCCTGTTCCTCATTGCCTGAATTATTCTTCTGTATTTATATTGTTCTCGATTTTCCCTGCCCTACTTTTAATGTTGTCATCATCACATCATTGTGAAGTCATCGTTCTGTTGCTTATCTTTGAAAACATATCTGTTTTTATGTAAAGCTAGAAAAGCAGACTGTAGGCTTTGTGTGAGCACAAAGAGCAACGCCACAGTGTGCGCACTTTGACCAGAGCAGGTCTTAGAACTAGAAGCAATTCAGATGAACTATATACTGTTATGTCAGCTGTGGTGTCAGGTTACCTACTTAAAAAAACAGAAAGAAAGAATGAAGAAATAATTGTATTGTAAACATGCCACAGTTTCATCAGTGCATGCGTGAATGACACTCAGTTTCTATTTGTGGAAATAGTACAGCTTATAAAATCTCATCTGTGTGTTTAGACCCAGTTTTCTGATCACTCATGTGCCTGATTGAAGACGGCAGAGTCTCTGAACAAAAGTCCTTTTTGTTTATTTGACGGGCAGCGGCGCACACAGATTCTCTGTGGAAGGATCAGATGTCACTCTCATTGTTGTTTTGATGCTGTGGAGATTAAAGTGTGTCACTCAGGTCAGCTTGGATGTCACCTTGTGGTTTTGTCAGCATCATATTTGGGCGATATTTTCTCCCCTTGGGTTTCATGTTGACAAAGTGGAATGTCGCTTGTGTATATTTGATTTGCCTGCTCAGTACTACACCACAAAGACGTTAGCAGACATACACGCTTCTAAATCAGTGAAAGGGGTTTTTTTTTTTTGCATTTTTGTCTGTAACCAGCAACTAGGCATCCAACTTCAGCAACAAAAGAACATGCTGGGTATTGGCATCACTCAACATGTGAATTAACATTTTTTTATGTTATATAATATTATACCTGTAGTAATGTTAGTAGACTACTCTGCAACCAGTTTAATCCGTCCTGTCATCAAAATATAATTTTAATATTTTAAATACACGCTGACACCACCATGTGAAAGATCATGTGAAAGGAGTTCATGGTTTTTGTTTAAGTACATACAGTACATAACCCCACGTGGTATCAAACTGAACACTGAGAATCATACTGTTGGTACTGACTATAGTCAGTAGCTGGCGATACCAGAAAAGTAGTATTAGTATACTACTTTTCTGGTATTGTGACATTGCCAGCGAGTATCTGCTTACTTTCACTGGCCATGTATGAAAGGTAATGATTTTAAAATTTCATAATATTGAAAAAAATGATGATATTTGTTTTGGTTCATTTGGGTTTTTTCAGTATCATGGGAAACACAGGCACATATGCACCAAGGTTACAAGTTTTCCAAGAGTGATAGATGCAACATATGGCTGTGGGTGTTCTAGTCTATCCTTACATCCTACAGAAGACCAAGCATGGCCAAAAGATCAGCAAAAATACTGGTGGCCAGCAGTGCTAGCCCTCAGCCTCCTCGCACATATGGTAATAGTTTGAAAATCCTTCTTGAGTTATTATGTTCAAGATTTTTAGTAAAGTTGAGCCCTGAATTACACCGAGTAAGCCTCAAGTGGCCATTAGAAGAACTGCAGGTTTCTTCCACACTGGCTTCATTTTTCACCAGCAGCTGTTTCACAAGACTGACTCACCTTTGAAACTCCACATTAGTTTTCTTTCTCTCCTTTTTAGGCCGTTGCCCACGTCAGACAGCCATGTTACTTCAAACATAACTATTAACACATACTACCATTGTTTTTGCCACAACATGGAAAATATAGCAGGCAAATTCTGACTCTACACTCAGTGACCATCCTGCAGTTTCAGACAAACATGTTAAGCAACTGAACTCCAGGCCAGACAGTAGACTTACTTCCTCATAATCCCATAACAGACAACAAATAGCAAAAATCAGCACAGATTGTGTGTTTGAAGGCAACTCAAACACACTTGAATTGAAAAGAAAATGTCAAACAGCTCATGGAAACAGTCTAAAGCCTTGGTCTAACTTGGCCAGTTCAGTTATTACACCACATCACAAGAGCTGAAAAAAAAAAATAGCGAGGAGAAAGGTCAAACATATCCCATTGACTCCCAGATCCCAGATCAGCCCTGGCTGCTGCACATAAGGAAGTTCAGATGGCTTATTTACATGTTCTCTTCCTTACTGGTCATAGAGGGTTTTTTTCTCTCCCCCTTTTTTTCTCAGCAGCCTTTACTTCCTCCAGTGAGTAATAAGAGCAGCTTCACACAGACCAGTGGTTTTGTCTATGTAAGTCACTCATTGAGAGCAGATCCCACACACACACAGAGGGAAAGAGATTAATGCTGCGAGCCACTACCTGCTGAATCTGTAAGTGTGAACTCAAAGTCTGACTGCTGTTTGTGCTGAATGTGAGCTGAGGGTGCAGTCTTGTCATGTGTAGCTCTGTGTCAGGTCCAGACCGTGCGGTCTGCCCTGAGCACAGAGGTTGTGGGAGATAGTGTGGCTTTTTCAGAAAACAGTGCTAGGAGCTTGCAGTTTACCAAGTGATTAGCAGAGGATGTGGTCTGCTGCAGGCTGCAGCAGGCCTGTGCAGACTGCAGCCCCTTGCTGACAGTACTGTAGGTGGTGTCAGATGAAAACAGCTTCTCCTTTACAGATATTTGTGGAATGTTGGTTCTGGTGAGATAATAATAGCTTGTATAGGTCGAACAATCTTCTTAGAGATGAAACGATTGTTAGATTGCTTTTTGTTTGCTTTGTTCTTTCTTCCTCATACCTGAAATGTTGCATTAACACACGGAGGGCAGTACAGTAATCAGCTCATCCTGCGTTGCACAAAAGTGCGATGGCGTATAGGCTGAAGGGTCAGTGACACTTCCTCACAGCGGTTTCGTGTGTGAGAACATTGTGAAGGTCTCCTACTCGAAATAGCTCTGTCTTTGTGGGAGGACAAACAGAAGAAGTGGGCTGAGTCATTCAGCAGTATTTTTTCTTCACCTCTACACTCACTGTGATCTGTGTTTGGACCTGAAGCGCAAGAGGGGGTTTTCCAGAGAGCGCAACAGCACGCGGGTGGAATGGGAGAGGCCGCTCACATCAATTCCATTCATTCATGATTTGGCAGAGCAGGGTGTGACTGTAGGTAAAATTAGAGCTGTGATCAGTGCAGACCCTTTGCTTCCTCTCCTAGTGTGTGTGTGTGTGTGTGTGTGTGTGTGTGTGTGTGTGTGTGTGTGTGTGTGAGGAGGAGAGACAGAGAAAGGGAGAGACAGGGGCTTTCTTAGCCAGCATGACGTCAGTGAAGCGTTCGCAGTCATGAGGTTGTGGTAACCAGAGCAGATTCTATCAACCACAGTCAATTTGTCTGAAAACCCCTGTGAGACCGCAGCTGCGCTTCCTGTGTTTATACCGACAGTCTCTGTCTCCACCCCTCGCCCTTCTCCTCTCCTCCTCCTCCTCTTTTGACACTTGTCAACTGTTCCAAAACACAGGCTGTCTCCGTGGAAACGCCGATGAGCCACAATAAGGAGGCGAAGAGTAGGATTCCCCAGCCAGACGGTCCCGAGCGCGCAAAGGAGGAGGAGAGGAGCCACTCTGATTCGCTGGCAACCATGGACGCCAAAGTGGAGCGCTTTCTCAAGTTAGGATACTCTTACAGCGACATCCTCAGGGTACTGGAGAGCCTCCGGCACGACGCCCAGACCAATGACATCTTGGAGGAGCTGATAAAGACGTGCCACACTCGCACCCACAACAACAGGAGCGTGCCAAACAGCCCCAAGCTGGTGCCCAGAGGCTGCAGCCCCAGCCCCAGCCAAGCCAGACCGGGACCGGACAGAGAAGCGGCAGCTGGATTCAGACCGGTGGTTATAGACGGCAGCAACGTGGCCATGAGGTGAGTCAGCACATGACATTCGCTTTATGTATGCTTATGCATTAAGTACAGTGGAAGGAGTCCTCCAGTTACAGTGCACTACAGTAACTTCATACTTCTTCATATCAGAGTAACCGTATCTGTCAGGTGTTAGGCGGGGTGGGTGGGGGTGAAACGCAATGAATACATCTTATCTGAGCTTCTCAACATCCACCCGTAAAGTTTTAATTGAATGTTCGCCTCTCTGAAATGGAGCTGATCTTACAGAACAAGTGTGTAAGAGTGTTGATTTGAAAGGTAACATCTGAGAGCGAAGTTAACTCTAACCCCAAGTTTGTGCCACAGATCCGATGGGTGTTAGGCAGCTGTTCACAACTGTACCGAAGCCCTTCGCTCAGTTTATTCATCAGACAGGCACGAAGGCACAAGGAAGCAAACCATTTTTTCACAGCAAAGAAAACACGCTTCGTCACTTCCTGGAAAAAAACAAAACAAAAAACACTTGTTTGAGGCAGTAAAAAGAGCGGAGACGCGTTCCTCTCTGTGAGGCTGAATGAGGATAACTTTGGTTTAACTTTTCAATCTCTCACCAGAGGCTCTGTCTGTCTATGTCAGAACTTGTTTCAGTTCACAAATGTGATTGCAACACACTTCCTCTTTAAAGACGTGGGAAGTGAAAACATGATCTGAGCCGACACTTTTCTCCCTTTTGTTTTTTCACTCAATTCCAGATTATGTTCGTGCCCTGAAGGGCCTTTGACATAGTGACCATTCCACAGTGCGTTTTAATTGTCAGGTTTGAGCTCTTTAAGTGACGTTTGTATCGAGCGTGACTTGTTACACGTGTAGCACTGTAACGCCATTTGATCTCACGGTTGGCATCTGCACCTCCACCCAAAGTAGATAACAAGGAAGTTTGGAGTGAAAAATGTTTTCGCTCGAATCAAAGACGGTATGGCATGAATTCAAAACAAAAAGCAAAGGAGCAATGTTTTCATAACGCATATTCCTGTAAGGACATGAAGTGAGCTGAAAGAGGAAGAGGGCTCAGATATTTACTGTCACTGCTTTATTCCCAGGTAAGATGGTGTAACTGTAGTCCAGCCTCAGGTGTGAAACCTCAGAGGCTGTTGGGGGTAGCTCTCATCGGTCTCCCTGTTTTGTTTCCCTTCTTCAGCTCTGAAGCTGACGTACAGTTTATCATGTTTAAGTGGAACTTGAGTGTCTCATGGGAAAAACAGACCCAGTTCCTGTCCTCAGTCATCAGAGCCTCTCACTGCTCTTTCTTCCTGATTAGTTTTTTGTGGCCATGTAAAGGAAATCAGTCAAAGGGATTTTACTGCTGCACTTTATTGAAACTGTAATTACATTTTAGGCCCGACAGCTGCAGAAAAAAACCCAAAAAAAGCACTAAGTAAAAAAAAAAACTCAACAAAAAAACAAAAACCTACTACTCCTACACATTGCCGTTCACACCGTGTTTTTGCAAGATTCTTGCAAATACCCACATCTTTTTAGTTTTCTGATTGAAACACCCTCACATTCTTGGTTTGATAAATCTGTCATTTCTGAGCCCATACCTAGATTAATCATGACACGTCCCTTCATTCCCTCTTGACACAAAAAACATTATGCTCCAGCACATGTGACAAGTAATTCTTCACGTTTATCAAAAGAGAACGATTCACACATGAGAAATGTACAAAAAAAAAGACATGTTTAAAACATTTTGGAGGTACGAACTGCTGATCTGGCAGCTCGGGTAAACTCATTACTCAGCAGACTGAGACTTTATCAGCAATACATGAGGATTTAAAGCTGCACGGATTTATATATCACCAATCTGAAAGACACTCACAGTGACAAACCCACAGACAAACCATTTTTCACCCACTAGTTCCCCTCAGCTTTACAGAACACTTTAACCTGTTTTAGCTAATTATTAAGCTTGCAGCTTTAATGTTTACAGCAGCAGATGGCACTTTACACTGGAAACTGCTGCCAAACACCAGCACAGTCTGACACAGGCCAGAATCAAGTAGCTCAAGTGGCTTTTTACTTTTTCCTCTTATGTGATGTTTAAAAGATTCAGTAACTCCTATGCACAAGTTTATCAAAACTTAAACAACACCTCTTTACAACTGTAATAAAGTAGGTAATGAGTTGAATCAGAATACTGATTCATGAAAAATAGACCAATAATAAATAAATAAAAAGCATAAATTTTTTACATTCCTGCACTGTTTTTGGTTATAGTAGCCACAAATAAAAACATTCATTTGTTCATTATTCTTAAAAATCCATTTTTTTTTCATTTAAATTTCTAAAGTTAATTAGTTGCTTTTATTTTGTTCCCTTTAACTCACGAATGAACGTGCAGCCCTCTGGTCTCATTCGACTTCTCTGGGAGCTTAAACAAGACAGGAAATATCATTTTAAAGTGTCATCTGTGAGTCATCTGTAAAGTTATGCAAGAAAGATTAGCTAGATTATTCGGGATCCATAAACTAGCTCATGCCAAAAGCTTTATCTTTGTTACCTGTTGTATGCAAAGTATCTTGCCACTTCCTGATGATGAAAAGAAGGGGAACACCCACAAGCACACGCCTTATTCTTTTCCTGCAGGCAAAACGATCCAGTTTGCTTCTTCTGAAGCCTTTTGACTTCGTACAGTAGGTTTGTATTTCAGAGAATAAATGTTGAGCTGTTCCAAAGAATGAATGTTGAACTAGAACAAACACAAGTGTCGTGTTGTCTCAGGCTCTCCTGGCTAGGTGTGACAATGACCACAATTCAGCAGTGTAGTGAAATGTAACCTTATTCTGTTTTCCTCAAAATTTCACGATTAATACATTGCTGGAGAAGGCTGTTTGTTTTAAGCTTCCACTTTGTGAATTTTAAAACATTAATAAATGATCTCACAAATTTCACGTGAAGAGTCTCTGTTACGTTGAAAACGACTTATCTCTGTGCTTGTGCAATCATGAACTAGTGAACACTTGCAACATCATTAGTTTCCTGAAAAAGGGAGAAGCATGTGTGGGCAAAATGTGCACGTTAGCGCAAAAGAAGAAGCTCTCTGGTTTTTTTTGTTTTTTTTTTTCTGTTGTTCACTCTGGTTTTTGTATGCGTTGTTTTTTTTTTGTAGCCACGGCAACAAGAAGGTGTTTTCGTGCCAGGGTCTCCAGCTGGCAGTAAACTGGTTTTGGGACAAAGGGATGCGCGACATCACAGTGTTCGTCCCCCTGTGGAGGAAGGAGCAGCCGAAGCCTGAGGCGCCCATCACAGGTAAGGTCACCTGACAGTGCTGTGCACTCAGCTCAGATCAGCTGTGTTTGTCAAGTCTCCACTAATTATTCTTGTTCACTGATGAAAAAGTGCCTTTATAATTGAATCCTCCTGGTCAGGGTGAAGTAGAAGTGAAGCCTGATTAACTCACGCTTCAGTTATGATTCCATAATTACTTCAGCGTTTTGTTTGTCAGCATTCAAGATCCTCAATTTGATTACAGGGATTCTTGGCTCAGTAACCAGGAAAAAATGTCTTTCTATTAAAAGGGGTTTTCCTTCCCACTTTTGCCAGGTGCTTACTTGGTTTATCCGGCTGTTGCAGTTTTCCCTTTTCCATTGTAAGGTCTTTACCTTACTACATAAAAGTGCCTTGAGGTGATGGTTGTTCAATTTGGCATTTGACATAAATAAAGCTGAATTGAATTTCCTCCTTTCCTGCTTCACACAGTGGGATGTGTTATTCTGCCTATTATAAAGCTGCAGTCATTCATTTTATTTCTGTTAGGACCATGTGTCCATCCATTTTCTTCAGCTTATTCAATTCAGGGTTAGATAAAATCTGAATGTTATTCCTTTTGCAGTGGGTCTTTCTGTGCACAAACATAACACAAAAAAACCAGCAGAAGACTGCAGAGCAAAGCACATCAGTGACAACATATATAAGACTGATGATGTCAACAGACATGGGTTCCAAAGGAGCTTGCAGTGGTAGTTGCAGCATACAGCATGCAGTACATAGAATGAATCTGCTTTAATGTGCCAAATGCAGTCTAATATTTCTAAATCCAGATGATACAGACTAGCAGAGCATTTAAATGGAGACAAGCAGCCACTGTGACAGTACACTCAGTGGTTTATTACACTGTCAATATAATGTATACTGATTAGTGGAACTTTAATCTGTGTTTACGTTACAGTTAAATCATGCCATTTGAATACTAGTACATCCTCAGCTCATATACTTTTGTAATTGTAAGTTTGGCTTACCAACAATACTCCTGACTCAAATATAATCAAATACACAGAAGCTGCCTGAACGTCCTGTGTGTGTGTGCACGTGTTATAAAGAAACCCAACCTGAAACTATGCTGGTCGACAAAGCAGGTTGTTTTTTGTAGTTCATCAGTGTAAAGCTTTAATGTAGTCTGAAGCACTTGTAAACAGTCAGAGTTTCCAGGCAGAAAAAGTGTGCTTCACAGGAAATGATGCATTTTTCTGTTAGAGAAGCAGTTCATTTAAATAAGCTGAAGAAAACCGTGCATGCCACTACACTGTGTGCCACACACTGTCTGATCGGTTATTAGCAAAGCAATCACAAAAATGGTAAATGGACTGGTACTTAGTGCTTTTGCTATTACAACCTTCCTGAGCCACAGCTCGGAGGATTTGAAGGAAATAAAATCTTTATAAGTGTTCTTAACATGTACTTTGCCAGTGGGGCACATAACAGATGGCTGCTGGTAAATCCCTGTCCCTTCTTCCAGGCTGTTAGAGTCATCTTGTTTGGCAGCTGGTGGCTTCCAATGGAGCCCATCCAATAGTTATGACCTCGTTTCATTGTGAAAAGCAGGTATTGAACCCATAGAGCCTCCTTAAACAATGAGGAAGTGTAAGCATGAAAACTGAAATCCTACACGTCGTTCATGTCCAATCATGTCGGCTAAAAATAGCTGCTTTCCGGAAAGCTGCAGTCAGCTTTTATTGCCATTATCAGTGCCAGGTAAAAAAATCCACAAATTGTTTCTTCCTGGTGTGACGTTTACTGTAAAAACAAAGAGACTGAGAAAAGATTAAAAGCTCACATGGAGTACAAGGTGCCTCAGTCACCTGCCTGAATAAATGTCTTGTATCTGTCAAGGACGTTACCACACATCATTTAAAATAATCTCTAACCTGTATAATATTTGTCCCATAGATCAACATATTCTCCACGAGTTGGAGAGGAGGAAGATCCTGGTGTACACGCCATCCCGCTGCGTAAACGGGAAGAGGGTGGTGTGCTATGATGACCGCTACATAGTCAAGCTGGCCTTTGACTCAGATGGCATCATCGTGTCCAATGACAACTACCGCGACCTGCAGACAGAGAACCTCCAGTGGAAGAAATTCATAGAGGAGAGGCTGCTGATGTACACATTCGCCAATGACAAGTAAGGCTTCTTAAGGGGCAGGTTGAAGGGGGTTACTTGTTTTGCATGGCTGATTGGGGGTGATTTGCCCCACTGTTGGACCATGTGTTCAGCTAGACTAACTGCAACTCTGTGCCGGTGCAGGTTTATGCCTCCAGATGATCCTCTGGGCAGGAATGGTCCCACTATTGATGATTTTCTGAGAAAGAAGCCACGCACCCCAGAAAACAAGCTGCAGCATTGTCCATATGGTTAGTACGGTCTATTTGAACAGACAGCTCATGTTACACTTCCTTGTGCTCCTCTAAAGATAAGAAAAAATATATACAATCAATGGAACTTCTGTGTAAATAGAGGTTTGTTTTCAGAGCAGATACCATTTCAAATTCAGTCACCAGGGATACACCCACACACACACTGCTGTTAAGCAAACATGACAGTAAGCAAATATGATGCATTTCTTGCATCAGAAGATTCCCACCAGCATTTCCTGTCCAAACTTCAGCACACACAGCAGAGGACCAGTGCATACAAACAGGTCGTTTTACACTAGCATCATGAGTATTTATGTTTAATAGTAGCTGATCTAAGGAGCTTAGAAAAAAAAAAAGCATCTGGACTTCTTTAAGTTGCTTGAAGCCGTTTCACCTCTCATCCAAGAAGCTTCTTCAGTTCTAGGGACTGAAGAAGCTTCTCGGATGAGAGGTGAAACATCTTCAAGCAACTGAAAGAAGTCCAGATGCTTTTCTTTCTAAGCTTCTTAGACTATGATGACCTGGATGACTGAGAACCTTTTACAGACAATAGTAACTGATAAAGCTAATTTTACTTTGAAGAAGACATTCTGCTTTAAGCAGCGAGTAGCTTTGCATAATTCCCAGTTCAAAAATAATTCTCAGTCCCTACAAGACGATTAACCCCAACAATCAAATGACCCTCTTTCCTTCCCACGGTTGCCAAAGTGTTTGCTCAAAAACTCAATTTTAACAGGAAGAAACCTCCAGCAAAACCAGGCTCAGTGAGAGGCGGCTATCTGCCAAGACCAGCTGGGGGTGATGGGAGGGAAACAGGACGAAATAGTTAGAAATTAATAATAACTAATGATTAAATATAGAATGTTAGCGGTGGTAATTCACCCTATAATTGATAAAAATGACCTTGAAATCCAAATAAGTCATCCACCACTGTTAAGTTGAACAGCTCATTCATTTGGTAGTTGATATAATTCAGTGAGGGCCACAGGTTCAGTTCACGTCTACTTTTGTATATGGAATTTTCCCCAATATGGCACAACCAAATGGAAAGTTTATGACATACTCCGGTTTCTGGGAATGTGCCTGTGTCTAAAATACAGCCTTAAATCTGGTGTGGAGTTTAATAACTGTAATCACCAGCATGTAAAATAGTTTGAAACTTGAGTAAACCTTCCCCCCTCCAGAAAAAACAGTAAAGCCCAGACTTTCTGACTGCGAAGTAGTAAATGTGGGAAATGCTGGAGATAAACCCAGACTGACCACAGTGTATTCCTGACATTATCTCAATATTTCATAAGAACAGAATGATTTTTCAGCCCACAGAGGAAGTATAAAGTCTCCAGATGTCATTACAAAACTGAGATTTCAACACATCACAACCTTTTTTTAATGACTGGTACAGTTTTTTGTTTAAAAAAATAAAAAATAAAAAAAAAAGTAAGGTTGTTAAATGTTGAAATCATGTGCTTTATGGCCAACAAATGAGGAGAAACTGAGCCAGTAGGGGGCTCTGGCTTCACTTGTCTGCGCTCATTCAGCAGTGACTTTTCAACTGGAGAATTTGAAATTTGTGGAAGGCCCTGATCTCTCAGGAAGAGCTTAGCTAAGGAGTCAGTCAGTGACTGGACTTAAAGACATCCATTTATAAGACAGCTACAAAGTGCCCTACACTGTGAGTGCCAAAGAAACAAAGAGAGCAGATGATTTGTTTGTAATTCTAGTGGCTTTTACACACATCCTGAGCTAAAGTTTAGCTTGTAGTGGCCCAGACACAATTTCTAATTTTGGAAAATTTGTATTTTTGTCTTTTAGGAAAGAAATGCACTTATGGAGTAAAGTGTAAGTTCTACCATCCAGAGAGGGCCAACCAGTCCCAGTTGTCAGTGGCTGATGAGCTGAGGGCCCTAAGAGACAGAGACAGAGCCAAGAACATCTCCCCTGCTGCATATCAGCAGGAGCACAGGTACATCTCCACCCCTCCACCTCTGGGCATAGATGAGCTGTCACACAGGGCTTCGCCAGGGGAGCAGTCCATCTGTCAGAGGGACACCAGCAGCCCGAGAAACCAAATGAACTCAAGTCTCCAACACTGCCCGAGCCCAGATATAGATGAAGCCTTCAGCTCCATGGACAGCTCTCTGTCCAGGCTCTATATCCATGACATGGTCTACAGCAGGGAGCAGCCTGTGCACAGCTGCAGCAGCGGGGTGGCCAGCTACAGCCTGAGTCAAGATGAGTACTCTGGGTCTTATGGTGGCAACGCCCCGAGGATCTGCCTGAACGGGGGTTACTACGCTCAGCCAAATGGACTGGCATCGCATGAGCCCCCCACGTGCAGTCAATGCAGGTGCTGTCACCAGCAGACCAGACTATCCCCAAACAGGCACCAGCAGCAGCACCACCACCACCTCCAGCAGCATGGATGGAGCTCATGTCCAGCTCTACCACCACATAATGGGGAGCTTCCCTCTCAATTTGCAGAGAAGCAGTACTACAGACAGCCCTCCCACAGACAGACCCACAGCTTGCCCAGGGACCCATGGGTGCAGGGCAGCCTGTCTGACCCTAGGCTGAGCAGTGGGGCTAAGAGCCCATTGAGCGAGCGGAGGAAGGCTCTGAGGATCCAGCTTAGCACCCTATTCCCCCAGAACATGGTAGAGCAAGTCATGAATGCTTACCCGCACGTGTCCGACATGTCTGAACTGATTTCTCTCATCCAGAACTACAGAGCGAGCCACATCAGTTTCTAGATCCCAAGGACTTGTTTTTTTTTTTTTTTTTTTACATTTCTTCAAACCGAGCCCATGTTGGAGTTCTCAATTCAAAAGAAAAGTGAAAACTGAAGAACGAGAGCACTTCTCGAAATTACTGTGAATTCATTATGACAGTTTGTACTGTGCAAAATGATTTGTCTTGCTTGAACATGATGCAAACTTACCCTTCATTTGAAGCATTACAAAGTGACACGATCTGCAGAAAATGTAGCAGATTGAATGCTCTCTCTTTATCCTAGTGTAAAAGTGCAATGCACTAAGCTCCATACAAGCTACTTATTGTAGCCTGAAAATTGTTTTGTTTTAAATAAAAGCAGCATGTGTTGTTTTCCCATGTTGCCTCAAAGTGAGGAACGCTATATTCTATATTTCTGTAAAGAATGTCATTGATCTATTTTTAATATGAATTCTAATGCCTTGTTTTTACTGAGAAATAAAAGCGCTCAAACCACATTACCACTGGGTAATTTTCTATTTGAAACTGTGCTTATAGATGTGAAGCTAAGGTGAAATTTCAATGCCATTAATGTCATTAAAAAAAAGAAAAAAAAAAAAAAAAACAGCCATTGCTCTCTGATGGTAGCTTTAGTAGAGCAGCTTTGCATGATTTACAGTTCAAAATTATCCTTATTTTGGTGCATGCCATCAATCTGAAACAAGCTGTTTACACCTAGGGCTGCATCAGAGAAACAAACATAGCTTCTGGATCTGAAAAGTAAAGTCTGTACAGAAGTGCCACCACCCTGCGTACATCTCCTCCAGCTGAGCTTTTTGCTCAGTGATTTGTGTACATACACCGATTTCACGATTTTAAACTCTGGCCATACTGGAACAGTACAGAACAGCAAATAAGGAACAGCAGAGTACGTCTACTTTAAAGTGAGCCCGCTGTTCAACCAGTAATGACGCTGCAGATGTTTTCCTTCACACGTCAAGCACATGCATGTTCCTCCCGAGACACGGGTTTCTGAGCCTCTTTTTAAACCTGTGTGACATTTTGTTTTGTGTTCAATGTACCGTTGCATTTCCCAGAAAGCTGTTGACTTACAAAAGACGGGACGAAATACAAGGAAGCAGGAAATAAACCAAGAGGAGGCCAGAGTGCTCTCTGACATGTGAGCACTTTTGCAATATCTTTCTTCCTTGTTTTCTAAGGGCTGACATAAAAGGTCCATAGGCCATAAAAAATGCAGGTAGTAGATAACACGATGAAACGCTGAAATGTGATAATAAAGATAAAGCTGGAAATTATTGCTTCATTTTGTTATATTAGGCAATTTTGAAAAAGACTGCATCATAAATTTCTTTTTATCTAACCATCTGCAGGGAAACAATCTCCCAGCCAACCTGTACACTGAGCTATACTGCCATCTAGTGGACAGAACATTCAGAACATGACAGAAGCAGCACAAACATTCTGAATAGATTTTTTTTTTAATTTTTACAAATAACTTATCTGTTACAAAGACAGTTTTCCCAGCTAAAATCAAAAAACACTTTAGATGTCCAAATTATTTTTTTTTCATGTATTAAAACATGAATAAACTGCCTCTTCACACCAAGGTGCAGATAAAGCTGAAAACTGGTTTTTGGGGGTTGGAAAAAGAAAAAAGTATGACATTAAGTGCTTAAGAGACAAGAATTCATTTATAAATTCATAAATCAGTGAGTTAAAGTCATAGGAAATTTTAGGGGTTTAAAAAAAACAAACAAACTTGGATGTGACAGGGCAGGTTATTAATACAAAGGCACTAATGCAAGCCATTGTTTCACATAATCCACAGTTCCACAGTGAAACATGACAGGAAGTACATTTTAGAAAAACCCTCTGCAATAAAAGCTTAGGAGGATGAACTGCTCCAAAGCAAAGTGTGCAGAATAGACAGTTTGTTTTGCCTCACCTGCTCCCAACACGCAACAATCCTGACTGTAAGGCACAGGAACACCTTTAACAGAAATATATTCACTTTGACCTTTGGTACCTAACAAAAAGCCAATTCAGGCACACAGCAACGTGGAAACTGTTCCAGGAGCACTTTGACATGGTTCTTGATTGCACTGGAGAGTGAGTGTCTCTTTGCACTGAGGTGTCGTTGTCCTCCAAACATCAAAACTACATTCCAGTTGTCAGATAAGATGGCAGTTTGTTATTTACCCCTTCCCTCCCCTCTCCAAACCCACCCCCAACAGTCCCGAACGTAATTGGTGTCCTGGAAAACAAAAACACACACTCACGCTTACACTCGCACGCACACACATACACTCACGAAACAGGAAAAAAACAAAAAACAAAAACAAGACGCCTCCATCGCCTTCCACTTTTGCTGCATCTGCAGATCATACACAGGAACCTCAGCAATGACGCGGGCGATGAACGGGCCGGGCAGACGTAGCTTCATGATGACTGCGAGGGGTTTGAACAGCTCCACTCCTCTCCTTCTGCAAGGCTTCAACTCTCACAGAAATCAAAGCTTAAAAAGGGGGCACGGTGCTTATTTGGTTGAAAGAAGGGAATCAAAACAAGTTAATAAAAGTCTATAAAGCTATACTTACAGGAAATACAAGTGATTCATAGTGTGAGGAAGAACGGTTTTAAAAGGCACATTCTAAAATTATGTACAGTAAAAAGCTTGAGGGGAGTTTCTGCCTCCGTGTTCTGTACACAAACCATGCAACCGTTTTTTGTTTCGCGTTTTGGTAACTCACGATCAGAGACACAGAGAATGGCGCTGAGGAAAGTAGGCACGTTTGAGTGACAGCAACACTGGTGGTTCCTCCTTTGGCATCCACTACAAACAGCAAACAAACTTTAAAGTCCACGAGTTCCCTTCAAGTGGAGAACGGTGGCTCAACACAGTTCCCACCCCCCCTTCCCCAGTCATGCCACCACCACAGAAGAAGAAGGAAAGGGACAAAAAAAAAAGAAAAATCAGCAAAAGGCACATCTGTGTTGAGTGTGCATGTGCGCAATCACGCTGCAGGGCCACGCTTGTAATACTGTGAAGTGGGAGCAGCGAGGTATCCCCAGGGTGTAAAGTGTCACCTGTCGAGCAAGGGATGTGGGGAGAACGGGACCCCACACTATGCCAGTCTCTAAGGTGAGGTATCATCCGACTCTGCCAGCCTATATTAAGAAACGCAAGCTGTAAACACCATCCAGTCAAGCCTTCAATGGACAGTGTTCTACAAGCCTATAGAGAGGAGAAGAAAATAACAAAACAAAACAAAAAAACAAAAACAAACGGGCTGCACGATGTACGAGGACTATGCCCTGTCCCGGTTTTCATACATCTAGGAAGTAACAGACAGAGCCCGGGTCTGTTCTAATCTGCTAGAAGACAGGGGGGCAGAGGAAGGGGCAGCGCGTCGCAGCCTTGTTGGCTCAGAAGTTCCGCGGGAAATCGCACTGTTCACAGCGGATCAGGGCAGGGTGATTGAGGAAGGTGCAGGCTGTGCAGCTCCACTGCGTCCCCTCGTCCTCCTGGTCTGTGATGGGCTTCACACTCTTACTGCCCGTGTCTGAGAAGGAGAAGAGGAGTCGAGTGAGGGATGGGACAGATGTAACATCACAAGCGTAAGCATGCATTTATCAGCACTTAAATGTAGTATTCTGATAGTGCCTTGGTGTCAAGGAGAAGAGTCTCTAAAAGGCTGCCACTTCAACAAGCAGATCAGATGATGAAATAACAACAGCGTCCACTGTGTCTGTTTCATATTTGGAAACCCTCCTTTTTCATTTTTCAAGCTAAATGTTCAGAGACTGTGTGAAAAAGAGCTAAAATACTTTAAAACTGTTATTTATAGAAGACAGTTTTTACTCTGTAAGAACCCCCCCCCCCTCAAAGAAGACTGAAAGACAGGCTGATTCCAATATTTTCTCAAACACTTAATTCCAAACAACACCTATCTGGAGTTTCGAAAGTTTTGCAAATACCATAAATGAGGGTATGCTATTTGAACATGCATCACAGGGGCTTAGAAATCTGTTAAGCATGCAAAAGAAGTGCATACTCGATAGAAACAGGACTGAGAAGAACCACACAACCATTCCACTATGAGGTCACAGTATTTACACACCCTCTGCTGTGTGGTCCAGCTACAATACAGACATGCACATCAACACGAGGAGAAGTGTAGTGCACTGACTCCTGAACACATGCCGGCTTTAACCTTAGGACAAGGGTGTCAAACTCCAGTCCTCGAGGGCCAGTATCCTGCTTATTTTTGAGATATCCCTGCACTACCTGCTGCTGATTAGCTGGATCAGGTGTGCTTTCCCAATAAGAAGCTACAAGGGCAGATTAGGTGGAAAATAAGCAGGACAGCCGCCCTCCAGGCCTGGAGTTCGACACATGTGCCTTATGATATCAGGGGCTGTGGCCAGTGCAATGAGAAACGTCAGACATGCAACCTTTTTTAAACTTACCAATAGATAAAGTACCTTTGGGTTTGGGTGGGACAGGACCGAGGAATCCAATGTTGTCGTAAAAGTTATGGATTGCACCGGGATTAAAGTGTGGTCCTGTACACAAAAAGAAGCAGAATGGAACCAAGCCTTTCCCACACATTTCACCGCGTGTTGTATTTGTATAACTATGCACGTGACAAATAAAGAATCTTCAATCTAAAGGGACAGTATTGCAAAGGTATGATGTACTATTAGCATTAGGCACTAGAGAGGTCCTGAGAGGTACTTCCTAGCAGGGAGATCCCCTGACAACGACCTTCAAAGCATCTTTTCTGCACCACCAATAAGAAAGCTACAAGGTAAAAACAGCAAACCATTATAAACTATAAAAACAGCTAACTAACAGCCAGCTCTTGCAGGAATGGCTACAACATTTCCCATTTCACCCATAAAATGCTAGAATTCTGCTAATGCGTGCTGTTTGGGAAGAATTTACATTAGAGAGCACACACACACTATGAGTTAAATCAACAGAAACCTACACATTTGAGATACACTCATCAGGGCTCCATTCATTCTGGGTTATCTGATGAGCAGCAAAAGCTGAAACAAGGAGTCCAGAGAATGGGAGTTTGAATGTTTAAGATATCTAATTCATATCTAGACTTGCATGGCAGCCACTGGATGAGTAACAAGAGGTTGAAGCTGACTCCACAAGCTCAACAGGTTCCCCTATGGAAACTGAGTCTTACTTCCTCTAGATAGATCTTGTTAACTGAGTCAGTTTAAACATTTAGGGAGGGGCAAAAATCTCACTGCTATTATATCAAGTTGTGTGTGTAATTGTTGAATGCCAAAAATGTAACTAAAGTTCAAATTCAAATAATTAGCCTGCCTTGCTCCGAAAAAGCACTTAAAAAAAACAGGTTCTGAAAGAAAATATAATTTCTTCCAGGAGTTATAGGTAATCTTCTTTTTTACATCACACATGAACAAAGGTTGCAAACAATACATAGCATGGAGGACGCTAACAGCAAGTCAGTTTTACAGTCTTGCAACACCAAAAACTTTTATTTGTATCTTTGTTTCTATGTTTTTTCCCCCTTACTGCAAACTGTGGTGAAGTGAGTATAGGACAGGCAATCGCTGTCAGCAGATACCTAAAGCAAAGGTATCAGTATTGTATCCAAACTGCATTCAGTGCGATCAGTGCACCCCTACATTTAAAAACCATTTGGATCCATTCATCTTGATGGAGCTTTTCCATCAAGATGAATCCGTCTCTGAATAGCAGCTAAAATAATAAGGATATCTATGGAAGTGCCATGTATGATTTGCAACAAAGGTGTAATTCACTGAAATTAAAATTGGTGGGTGAAATTAAAACATTAAAATTTCACTGTTTTTTAACAGTCGGTAATACTTTAACAAAAATGATTCTGTGTTGCGATTTAAAAAAAAAAAAAAAAAAAAAAAAAAATCCCCAAGGATTATTTATGCCTTCCTTTTCACCTGTGCAGACCTGTTAGGCAGCGGCAGTGATCTGTCGGTAGTGGAGTGCTGCCAGGGGACCAATAAATCCCTTGTTACCCACCAGCTACAGGATGCAATTCAGGAAGAACTGGTAGTTAGCA